CTGATGATGCGGGGCCGCCAATGTGGAGAAGCCCTCCACAAACTGCCTGTAGTAGCTGGCGAAACCCAGAAACGACCTCATCTCATTCGTATTGATGGGACACGGCCATTAAGCCACAGCAGAGACTGTCCCTGGGTCAGTAGAGACTCCCTCCTCCAAGATCACATGGCCCAGATACTGCACCTCTTTCTTGAAGAAGAAACACTTCTCCAACTTAGCCTTAAGTCCTTCCTGTTGCAGGCGGCACAGCACTAAATCAAGTCGACTCAAATGCTTGTCCACACTAGAGGAAACAACAGCATCTCCCCGGGTATTATTTATATCCATGATCATTCCAGCAAACTACTCACCAGGCGGTGTAGGCGTGGCCAACTTGCCGGTTACAATATTCTATTTATTCTGTGTTTACTCTGCTTTTATTCTATTTTAGTTTCTTACATAGTATGGGTGTTCTGCCCTTTGGTTAAAAGGCTTTAGATTAAGAATGTTAAAGGTTCATAATAACTCAGTTCATATTCCATTATCATATTTCATAATTCATTTGTTGAAATTCATGTTACAAAAAAAGGGAGGCAATCAGCTAAAATCACCTTGTATGCAGACAGCATTGGTTTATATGTGCTTTATTGTGAAGGCTTAGTTAGTCACTGCTATGCATTATGGGCAGAAGAAGTTCAGGAGAAAAAAGTGCTGCTCCAAGTGTCTTACAACTTGCCTACACCTCCGAAATCAATGGCTGTAAGTTTATCGTTTGTTTAAGAGTTGAAGTGGTATGAATGTGTAACCGTTATATCCTTTATAAGTACTGCTGTAGATCGTTTTTTATAAGTGTTCATTTCAAGGAAATAGACCTAGCCCTTGACCAATGTTAGCTCGAAGACGTTTGTGCGATTGTGTGAATACATTGGTATGTTAATGGCGCTATTCATATACACGACCTAATTAGCATAACAGAAGATCGCTGAAAATATTGCTAATCAATATACTTGTAGAGATAACACAATTCATGTACAATCTGTTGTGTTGGTGCCTGCTATTTCCTGCAATGTGATTATTTCGCCAATTGAGAGTTAATGGCTATTTTTCTATTTCTTCTGTTTATGTATTTCAGTTTCACCCGTAATTTTCACCTGTTTTGAGAAAACGATCAATAAAGGAGCAAGACACTCAGTTCCTGGCTCGTGAAAATCGAGTTTGGCTTGCTGTTTACCTACGTTCACACACTGGGCGTGTAAAACACATAGTGGGAACAGTACAGTGAAAAGCCATGTGCAGCAGTTGGTGAAGGGTGAAATACAAGACACAGCCATGGACAACGATCAGGATAGAAGCAGCATAAATGATAAAGCTACCTCTGAAGCCAGCCACAGCTCTTCAACCTCATCCAAGGCTCCATCTAAAGCCAACTTCAGACACTCACTTTCTGCAAAGTCCTCTAGTTGAAGCAGCCACCAGAGCCTGAGCCTCAGCTGAAGCTGCACTAACTAAAGCTGCCTACACCAAGAGACAATTGGAAATCAAAAGGCAAAGGGAAAGGCTGGAATTAGGAAAGGCTATGTTAGAAGCAGATTTAGAGGTATTAGAGATGGAGAAATGTACAGAAATAGATGACGATCTGACACGGTAATGCCCAGTTCACAAGAAAGCACATCCCCTAGCTAAATGCAGAGCCTTTCAGACGAAAACACTTGTAGAATGACAAAACATACTCAAAGAAAACAAACGTTGCTTCAGATGTTGCTCCCCAAATCACACAATAAAAGACTGTCGAATAACACTCAAGTGTCGCGAGTGTCAAACCGAAACACACTGCTCTGCTATGCACCCTGACACACGTCAACAACCTCAGTCACCACCCACAGCTGCGCCAGCCGTGGAGTCCAAAAGCAGCGGCTCATCTGAGATAACATCACGGTGCACTGAAATCCGTGGTGAAGGCAGCTCTCCTCGCTCCTGCTCTAAGGTATGTTTAGTTCGAGTCTTCCCTAAAGGCCAACCAGAACGCTTTGTCAAGATGTATATTATCCTTGACGATCAAAGCAACTGATCACTGGCTCATACTGACTTTTTCGAGCTCTTTGGAATTAAAGGCAGCCTATCACCATATTGTATGAAAATGTGCAGGTCTAACAGAGATGATTGGAAGGAGAGCAGTGGGATTCCAAATTGAGCCAGTAGGTGGAGGACTATGCCTCGACCTCCCAACTCTCATCGAATGTAATGACATAATGAACAACAGAGATGAGATACCAACTCCTGAAGTTGCCCTGGCACACGCTCATTTAAAACACCTCGCCCCCCACATTCCCAAGCTCGACCCTGATGCCAAGATGGCAATCCTCCTAGGTAGAGACATTGTACGAGTCCATAAAGTGCGACAGCAAGTCAACGGTCCCTACGATGCTCTCTTTGCCCAGCGCTTAGATCTAGGCTGGGTAATAGTTGGGGAAGTATGTCTCGACAGTGCCCACAAGTCAACCGTAAATTTAGAACTCACATCCTCCACAACGGACGTCCATCTCTCCTCACCCCTTGCCATAACAGCATCAACGCGAAAGAGAAACTATGCTATGGCGGGGAGCATAGGAATGGCCTTCCCACACGCATTGCTAAACACACCCCAGCCAGGGAAGAACTTGGGCAAAGGGTTTTTGAACGCACAGAGAGAGACAACAAGTGTGCAATGTCCTTCGAGGATGAGACATTTCTGAAAATTATGGAGGAAGAAGTCCATCAGGATAAGATGAACAACTGGGTTGCACCACTGCCATTCAGGTCTCCTCGCCTCCCACTCTCAAACAATAGGGACCAAGCAGTGTCCAGACTCACTTCATTAAGACGCACATTGACCAGAAATCCTGAAATGAGGCAACAATTCTCTGAGTTTATGGAAAAGCTGTTCAAGAACAAGCATGCAGAGATCGCACCACCCATTAATGATGAATGCAGGTACTTGCCTATTTTTGGGGTATATCGCCCTCAGAAACCTGGGCAGATACGAGTGGTCTTCGATTCAAGTGCTCAACAATTTGGCGTCTCTCTCAATTCAGTGCTGTTAACAGGGCCAGACCTTAATAATACCCTCTGTGGTGTGCTGATCCGGTTCAGGAAAGACCTTGTCACAGTTACTACTGACATCCAGCAAATGTTCTATGGATTCCTTGTGAGGCACAATCACAGAGACTATTTAAGGTTCCTATGGCACAAGGACAATGACTTGTCTAAGGAGGTACAGGAATACCGCATGCGGGTACATGTTTTCGGGAACAGCCCGTTCCCGGCGGTCGCCATCTATTGCCTTTGGAGAGCCATTGAAAAAGGCGAGCCGAAGTTTGGAGCCGACACAAGGCAGTTCGTTGAAAGACACTTTTACGTGGATGACTGGTTGATATCGCTTCCCACTGAGTTAGCAGCTATAGACCTGCTAAAGCGCACCTGTGCATCCTTGGCTGAATCAAATCTCAGGCTCTATAAAATTGCCTCAAACAGCCTTTCAGTCATGCAAGCCTTCAAGCCTGAAGATCTGGCCACAGGCATCATCAGGTTGCCCTGGCCCTGGAGCTCTACGTCTCCGACGAGCAGTCACCAGCCACATCAACCTGACCAGTGTTTCATTGTTTGTTGTGTCTTGTTGCTTTTCTTCTTTTGTCTCTCCTCTATCCACTCACCCCAACCGGTCGAGGCAGAAGGCCCGCCCACCAAGAGCCGGGGTCTGTTGGAGGTTTCTTCCGTTAAAGGGAGTTTTTCCTCCCCACTGTCGCCAAGTGCTTGCTCAAGGGGATTTGTTGGGTTTTCCCTATGTAATAATAGTGATAACAGTAAGGTCTAGACCTTACTTTGTAAAGTGTCCTGAGATGACTTTTGTTGTGATTTGGTGCTATACAAATTTGATCAAAGACTTAAGTCTGTATGATGACACTACCCGAACAAAGAAGCCTGGGCCTATGCTGGGACATAAACACAGACACTTTTACATTTAAGGTAGCTGTTAACAACAAGCCTTACACTCGTCGTGGGGTACTCTCCGTTATTAACAGTATCTTTGACCCTCTGGGATTAGCAGCACCAGTGACAATTAAAGGCAGACTATTGTTACATGAACTTGCCAACGGAGTCCAAGATTGGGATGCCCCTCTCCTTGAGGACAAAGCAACTACATGGGAAACGTGGAAAATGTCACTCAAAGAACTCGGCACCCTTCGAGTCCCACGCTGCTACAC